TTATGAAGAACAAAATTTAATCATAATAATTGTCTGCAGTTCATCAGACAGAAGGAAAGCGCGTCAACACATTCACACGAAACACGTGTACGTTTGCCCTATTCTTTGTTGGAGTGCACAGCCTGGAACTTCATGCAGTTTGCATCGAGAAACACGTCACAATCCCCTCGGTTTGTGTCATGTGTGCCGCACAGTTTGTGATTGACATAAAACCTGTTCGTCGACCTATCGTCACTCACAACTAGCACTGATTGTTTGACCGTGCACCATTTCCCATTTGATCGCCAACGGTACGTCTTTGTGCGCTGTAACACATTTTCAAACCGACCGTTTCACATGCATGGCAGTCAAGATGAAATTCACTAGAGAATAATTATTCATTTCTGCCATTTTTTGAAAAATAAATCCACCCGTGTGTAACGCATTGCCTTACATGTGCAGCACTATCCAGAAAAGGTCAGTAAATAAGGGACTGATTAAGCGAAGAGATTTTTAACAGTTTTATTTCCAAGTCTACTGCACTACCAATATAGCGTTGGCTTGATCGTAACGTCAATAGATTATCATCACAGAGAACGTATAATCAAAACCCACCTCCACTTCCTGATCTTTTCTTTCTGAAAATCAAAATTTGGAATTCAGTTTTCGTAATATGGATAAACTGCGTAGCTGGTGCTCATTGAAGTTCGAAGGATCTGTTCACAGACGTTTCGGAAGGTATTGACCATACATATCAAATTATTACGCTCTTTGATGGATGCCTTTCAACAAAGATTTTAGACTGTTACGTTTAATCATTTGGTTGTTGTTCTCTGCGGGTGCTGATTTTCTTTTGGTCCCAACCTAGCCGTGGATACCGAGCGTTTACAGAGTACTCGGTGGGCGGTTACAGTGTATGCTGATATAACAAGAGACAGAAATTCTCCTTCAAACATGCCCAAACCACGCGCCAGTAATCCAACTGCATTTAACACTCTAACTCAATGTGTGGATCACTCTATATCCCACAAAACCATGACTCCTCTATCCTTCTTATCTGTATCATGCGTTTTTAACTCATGTTCAAATATATATGGAAAGATACCCTGCGACGCATTGATACAAGCCTAAATTTAACAACGGTTCATTCGATGGCATTGGTGATAGACGATCGGTAAGCTGTCCAGAGTAACCTGTGGGCATTCATAATCTTCCAGATTCCCATTGTGACATCTGAGAAGACACGAAAGGGAAGACAACCCCGTTTTTAATAACATCCTCATCTGAATAATGCAGTTATACAAATCGGTTATAGGCATATCACATTTGCATAATGTCTGACGCATGTGTGTGCGGATTTGATTGGTGGATATAATTACTCGATTGTGTGTGGCTTACAAAAACATTTGCGGTGGAAGGTGGGGATGTGTCACATAAGAGTTAGAACAGAGTGGAGGTTGCCCATCACCTGTGTTCGGGTACACGGTCAATCAAAAGACTCAGGCGATCATGCAGATGGTCACTTGCAACCAAACAATTGAATTCACTACGTGGCTATGGTAGTTGAAGTGCTGTAACAAATCACTTTTGAGAACAAAGTGATCAACTAGGCTGGTTTGTGTTCCTTGATTCTCTGGGTAGACTGCCTGATGTTTCAACCTACGTAGCTTGCGGAACAGGAACAAACGAAAGCGTAGGTAGTCATATCCTTGATGTGAATCTCACGCGACCTCGTAAGTGTTGTCCGAACAGAAGTGTTTATCGCAAGCAAAACGTGAACTGGGCAGCATATTCACTTTGAGGGCTTCGTACCACTGGAAAGGAAACGAAACCTTATCTGTTCCCTCGCACCCCGTGCATGAAAACTTTGCGTAGCAGACGCCTAAGCACAAGAAATGGAGAAACATACACTCATATATAATGGTTACCCGGAACATTTCATTCAGAACCATCAGGCAGTCTACCCAGAGAATCGAGGAACACAAACCAGCCTAGTTCACCACTGGGGTCAGAAAAACCATCTCAAGTGCCATTGTGGAACATCTCGCAAATATGGGGCACAGTGTGAAAGAAGATGCCTTTAAGGTGATCTATCGGGTGCCTCCTTTTCCGTATTAGGCTGTTCGTCAACAACATTTAAGAACAGCTGAGGCAGGGGTTATCCGTTTGTTGAACTCATCACTTTGTTCTCAAAAGTGATTTGTTACAGCACTTCAACTACCATAGCCACGTAGTGAATTCAATTGTTTGGTTGCAAGTGACCATCTGCATGATCGCCTGAGTCTTTTGATTGACCGTGTACCCGAACACAGGTGATGGGCAACCTCCACTCTGTTCTAACTCTTATGTGACACATCCCCACCTTCCACCGCAAATGTTTTTGTAAGCCACACACAATCGAGTAATTATATCCACCAATCAAATCCGCACACACATGCGTCAGACATTATGCAAATGTGATATGCCTATAACCGATTTGTATAACTGCATTATTCAGATGAGGATGTTATTGAAAACGAGTTTATCCACCATTTTATGCTTTAATTTTGAGGAAATTGAAACTTTCGAAATCTGTTCGGATCGTGATTGATTATTGTTTTTCGTTGAACAATTTAGTTTGAATTGTTTATATGTACTAGAAAAACGGCTAACCAAGCGAAGGATTATTTTGTACTCTGTGGACCGCTTCAGTTGGTTCAATAGGGCATTTCGAATACGAAATAATTTGGCTCATTTCTGATTTCTTTAGTTCATTTCGTCCGAATTGACCGAAGAAAGCAATTTGCTGGATCATTTCATTTATTTTATCGTTTTCAATGGCAGTATAAAATTAGCTGCTATTTATGCAAGAATGTTTTGACAACTACGTGGGTGAAATGAACCATGGTTAGTAGAGTGGGTACAAATTCAGTGACAGAGCAATTTGACTGGTTGCGTCAGAGACGTTTCCGCATATACAATTCGACTGCGTCACCTAATTAGGATCGTTTCATTGAAGGTTACGAGGCTTGTATTAATTTTTGTTAACCTAGGACTTGAACGGCACAAGTGGATCAACTAAGTGTCCAGTTGTCACGAGCTGTTTGTGATTGATGGGCCTTGATTTCTCTTATCTAAGTGGCCACGGAACTTTTCCTGTAATAATTGGTGTAATAACGAACTGGGAATCTGTTTGAACATCCATTTTAACATGGACCGATTCGTTTTGCGGTGTCATCACAGCTGCAGTTGAACTGCGGCGCGCCTTTTGACTGGCTGCGCTACAATCACGTGTTATCAGATACTTTCGAAATTGAAGGGTTTTGTCATTATTGTGACCCATTTTTCGTCAATTTGCCAGATCGGAATTACTTCTACTTAAATACTGTTGGGAATTCGCAACACGATTCGATTACTTGACACCTTATTCATTCGGATTTCGGAATTCACACAAAAGGTACATTCGGACCGGGTGGCAAACTGCTCCCAAGTGCACCACCCCGTCTAAAATGTCTGTTCTCTCAACAGTGAGTGCGAACATGCGTTACTTGTTCGCGAAAATCTCAGATTTATCACATGTTCTCCGTTCTCGGATTCACCTTCATAGTTGTTTGATTTGCGTACAAAAATCTTGGCTGAATCTGGATGTTGCTGACGACTTGGTATCCATCGACGGATTTAATCTATACCGTCAAGACAGGGAATCATGTGGCAAAAACCGTCAACACTTCCGGGTGTGGTAAGACAGATGCCGTTTACTCGTATTCCAGTAAAGGTTTGATTGTTTATCTCTTCAGTGATACTCTAAATTCTCCCGAGATAGAAGTACCTTCATAATAAACCTATATATTGCTTTCTTTTGTACGCAAAATACCATCTCGACATTCTTCGACTTATTTTTACCTTTTCTCGTACCACTACTAGAGGACATCCTGCATATTATTGAAGGAGTGATTTTAACCATGCCTCTCACTGCTTTTGATGTAACCGATTTATGCGTTTCACCGACCAGAGGTAACTTTGTTTTGGACAGAATTATAACAAATCACCCCGAATTCTGCGCTCTCCATCTCCGTGCACCCGTATCAATCAGTGGTCATCGTCTGTTTGTTCTTAGACTCAAGGTATATTCCCGTTCTGCCTTCCATTCGTTCAAGCAAAGTAACCAAATCAAGATCTGTCTTCAAAACACGTCACTTGAATGTATTTTTCTCCTTCAAAGAGCAATAACCCATGCAATTTCCTGGCTGTCCTGTAAGCGTTCATTGAACAACAATGCTAATCGTTTTTGATATAATTCATTCCGTCTTGAACATCTGTTGCCCGCTGGAAACTTTGTTTCTCTCTTATGGTCATATTGCATCTACGAAACGAAAATATTAAGGAGACACAAGGAACATTGCTACAAATTCATCAATGATCAGTTATCTTCTACACTGATAAAAAAGAAATTACACGTGTCGACTCAGCCTATGAGAATCAATTCCTATGCAACGAAAACACCAGATATCTATCTGAAGGAATTTGGATCATTTTGTAGAGCGAAATCCAGACCAAATAAATGTGATGTAGTCGTTGAGAGTATAAATCAGGCATTTGCGCATTTCACTAGTGATCCTCTCATTTCATGGATTCCGGAATACGGTGTTAATATAACCTCGTTCTCGATAGAAGGAATATGTAAAATTCGCCGTACCACTAAATCATCCACTGATATTGGTCCCGACGGTCTATCTTCATCCATTCTGAAGCATGGTGCCATAGCTCTAACAAATGCTATTACTTCCATCTTAAATACGTCATTTAGTTCGTATCCTATTCTGGATTGCTGGAGACGGATCACAATCATTCCCGTTCCAAAACTGCGTAGATCCAGCAACTTGTACAAACGTTTCCGTCCCATTGTTCTTTTACCATGCGGTCATAAATTGGCAGAATGTGCGATTCTCGAATGTCTTTCCGCTTCCTTCAAATTCAATTTTTTCTTATTAGAAAGAAACTCAAAATCCAAAACTCAAAACTCGTCAAATCCCATAGGGTGTATGCAATTTAGTTCGGAACATGATTCACAAGATCAAAGTTAGTAGAATACTAATGTAATATGTTTGACTATCACAGGAGAATACATTATGTAGTTGGGTGTTGAAACTCAATGTTTGCTACTAACGTTAACCAACAGACCACGTGAGTTGGTAGATAGTTCTATGTGATGCCCACTCTAACTACAAACGAATGACATCTGCAATAGAGACGGCTCTCTTGGAGTGTCAACTTCTGGGGATGCCCTCTTCGAAGAACATTGGGTGATAGAACCAGTTTGCTTATAAATCAAGCAGGTTCACTTTGGATTTTGTTGCCTCCGCCATTCATCACCTTACCAAATCCTTAGACGCATCAACGAAATCTGTGAGATATTTTCATAAATCTTTCATCGGCTTTTGACTCTGTTTCACGTTCCCTTCACTTTCGCAAACCGGAATCATTCGGCTGTCCCAAGCACTTACTGGCGTGGCTCATCGACTTGTCAAGTCAATTCAAGTATTTGTTTTATGCACCCCGAAAGGTGGATATTCAGCAGTCACACATTCAACCAACAATTATCGAACTAAATAATGACAGAATGATCTTAAGCAAGAGGAAAAAAAACAATTTACGAGATGATTGAGTTAAGTTCCTAAGCGATGCTGGCAAGAAAATGAGCAAAGTAAGGCACTATTTCACAAACAGAGGTCAGCATACTCGGCGCGGTAGGAAAACGTCTAAACCACTCGTGAACAATTCGAGAGTGCTACAGGGTGCCGTATTGTCTCCGTTCTCGTTTTTCACTGACATCAGCGAATTCTCCGTCCCAATTAATAAATATGCTGATGAGGTAGCCCTCTGCCGAACCATTTGTGTGCCTGACGATCTAATAAATTTATCGAACAGTCTACCGCATATCCATGAATTTTCCGTTCGTTCTCGACTGTCTCTTAGTTTATCCCAGTGCTTCGAATGCACTTTCTACCTCTGTCGATCTGTTTATCCTCATGATCCGTCTGTCATAAACAGAGATCTCCTAACTATAGTAGACTCCGTGGAGTATCTAGGAGTTACAATTTACATTAACTTAAAGTGGGCGTCCCATATTTACAACTCTGTACAGAAACTGCGTAGATTATGTTTTCAGCTTTGAAGACTAAGACAGTTCAATGCCAATCAAAAAAGCATTTCGCTTTTCGTCTACCAATGTGTTTTTAGAGTTCTTCTTTATTATCCCCTGGTGGTTTTGCTGGTCGGGGTTTGTCGATCATGAGCCGTGTGTCTTTGATGCCCGATGATGAGCTTTCTAAAACACTGTGTGAACTTCACTTTTTCGCGTGTGAAACATTTGCACGGAACATCCTCTCTGACTCCAATCATTCTTATCATGGCAATCTATCAAAATTCGGCTCTCATACATTTGCACGTTGCATTATATCGATGGTTACTCTGTCGCATTAGGCTCTACAGAAATTCTTCAGTTTTCTGTCTTGTTAGAATCCTCGTAAATCGACAGATCGTTTCTTCAGAATTTTTCACTAACCTTGGATGTTAAATATTGTTTGCATTTTGTACATCTATTGATGAGACTTGTCATTTTTGTCTGAAATGCGGACTTCTATTCAAGCAAAAGTCCATACAAATACAAATAGAAAAACAAATGATATAGGGATGCAGTGGGTGAGCAGAATAGATTGGCTGGTCCTGCTGTCCAGAACAGCTCTTAGAGCCTACGGTATCCGTTTGAGCTGTGCGACTGGAAATTTTCGACACAGGGTCGACTTGAGCTTCTGACACACGTCGTTCATTAGACGATCATCCTTGAAGGCCTATGTGAAGGAGACATTTTTTTCAGTACTTCGCAGACTGGATCAACTGGTGACCTTCCTCGTGCTGTGCACATCACTAGCCTTTTCTGGTTAACCGTCATCCACAAGCGTACTTGGTAGGAAAACTAGAAAATTGTGGATATTGCAGACTCCATGTAGTTTTCAGTTAGTTGGATCCGTGTAGATTTCCTTCTGATCACCTCCTGATGTTTGCATAGACAAATATCTCACAAAACTATCCGTTTCTTTATCAAGGGAAACAGAGATTTGTATGCTTATTAATAAGATGATGCTTAAACGATCATACAAAAACGTCAAAATACTCCCGACATAACGTTTGCACAAAACAGCTTGTAGAATAATATTTTGCAATCGCTTTTGGATCAAAACTGGAAACACATTCTCTAAATTCGTTGTTACACCGTCACTTTGCATTCCTTCCTTCTAATGACGACAAATGTTTTGGTGCAAACAACCATTATATCGTTTAAACAACCAATGACTATATGGGGGTATTCATCGAATGTCTTCAGTCTTCAGTCTTCAGAATTGAGGGCAGAGGGCAGGGTGCCCGAGTAAGCCCTACCATCACTGGGTCCAAGGTCCCATCACAAGTATTCGTTTCTCCATAGACCCTTCAGGTGCACATCCAGACATCGTTTGAAAGCAGCGTCTGTCTTCTCTTCCACCACAATCGCTGGAAGGGCATTCCAGAGTGTTTTTGACTTACGTGAGAGTCGGTAGACTAACGGAAGGCCAACTGACTGAAGTTTCCGCGTAACGTNACGTGAGAGAGTGCCCCCGCGTGCGGTGCTCTGACCGTAAAGGGAAGTACTGTTGCAGCTCCGGGCCCATTTCACCTCTCAGGATCTTCCTCAGTAGATGAGATCTCCCCTGAGGCGTCGATGCGCAATTGGGAACAGACCAGTAGCCTGTAGGCGACCTTCATAGCTGGCCCTGCGTAGTCCAACAACGAGTGTAGTGGCAGCACGTTGTACACACTCCAACTTAACTAGTTCACCGGCCATGCAGGGGTATGTCGCCGCACCACCGTGCTCAAGTCTTGGTCTGACATGGGAAGCGTACAGCAGCCTGAAAGCGTCCATCGTGTGCTGGTTGAAAGACCGCTGAATAGGCCCCATAATGCTCCATGCACTAGCACAGATCCGATCGGTGTTTCCTCGGGTCTTTATTGATGACGTAACCATAACACCCAGGTCTCGTTCGCACGATGTTCAGCGCAATGTGGTTCCCTGGAAGTTGTAGACTACCTCTGAGTCAGTACGCCCCAAGTGCAGATGAGCAAACTTTACTGTGTTGACTGGAAGAGCCCAGGTTTTCGCCCACTGAGCCAGGTTGTTCAAATCCGCTTGAAGAGAACTTCGATCATTCGGATGCTTGATTTTACGCCAGATTTTGATGTCATCCGCATACATGAGGGATGGGCAGCACAGTTGATTAGGCAGGTTGTTCACATAAACCACAAAACGCAATGGACCAAGAACCGAGCCTTGGGGGACCCCACTGGGAGCGGAGTACCACGCAGAGAGCGATTTGCCAACACGGACGCAGAATTTCCGATCGATGAGGAAGTCTCGCAGCCAATTCCGCATTACCACACCTACACCTAGGTTGGACAGCTTTCGCAGAAGGAGGTCGTGCGGCACCTTGTCGGAGACCTTGCTGAAGTCCACGGAGATGATTTCCGTTTCGTCTCCTTTGGCTTTGTCCTCGATCCAGCATTCACATGCAGGTAGCAAATTTTAGAGGCATGAGCGACCCGGCCGGAAATTGTGTTGTTGGTAGCACAGATGACCGTGGCACACCAAATGCTGCCGAAGCCATGCAGCCACCAGTAACTCCATTACTTTACCCACAACGCTAATAAGATCGACTGATCGGTAGTTCCCAGGGCTAAACCTATCCCCGACTTTGAGCAGTGAAACAATGACAGCATCCTTCCACTGCTGCGGTAAACGCCATTGAGTAAATGACAAATTGAACAGGTTGCACAGTGTCGCTGCAAGTTCATCTGCTAGCTCCTTCAGGATCAGCGGATGCATACCATCAGGTCCAGGTGACTGGTGAACCTTTAGTCGACGCAGCTCCAGGGCCAACACTCCGATGGTAAATGGGGCCCATTTCAGCGCAGTGTCAGGGTCCAGTAGATGTGCCAGTGTGCTGGAGGCTGGGGTGTACACTGAGGCATAATGTGATGCCAGCATCTCCGCTTTGTTGTCATTTTTTTCGGCTAGTGCCCCATCTTTGGCGAGAGTTGGGTGACCAGGAAGTTCTCTGGTTCTTCGTCTGAGGTAGGCACACAATCAATTTGGTGCTTGTACTGAATTCGCTACTAGTCGTTCCTCGAATCTGGTTCTCTTGATTTTTTTAGTGCAGTACAATGATTCCGAATGCATCGATATTCCTCATATCCTGCGCCTGTTGCACGGTAACTGGACCGGGCTTTATACCGCTGCCGAAGGTACGCCCGCAGTTCTCGGTCAAACCACGGTGGGCCCAGAGCGTGTGTTCGCGGGCGGTGAGGTGGATTCTATGGTTGCTGGATTCAATGACGAACCAACTCCCGAGATACATCCACATCCTCAGGGTTCCGGGAATCCCAATTTGTGAGCGATGCAGCCTGATGCATATCCGGAAAGGATGAGCGCCACACATTCCCTCCGTCCTGTGGTCTGTCCGTTTGGGGTACTCCACGCCTCCAGTGTATACGCAGAACGGAGTGATCACTAGATACATTTGGTGGAAGGAGGCAATCGTAGTCGTATCTGATTGCCTCAGCGAAAATACCAGATCAAAGATGGATCTTTGATCTCCAACTATCTGCGTGGGCACAGGAACATGCTGAACAAGCGACAGGGCCCGGACAGTGAAAAGAAGTTCTCAGTAGAACAAATCTGCATGCTAAGAGCAGATGCCAGTTTCCCAAACAACAAGGGGCGCGTTGAAATCACCCAAGACAAGAAAATGTCCATCGCAGGCGTACATCTGTATGCTGGCCAGCAGCTCTGGGACGTACACAGCTGATGTGCGGTAAATGACTCCAACTGTGGTATACCCTGAGACCTAATCAGATAAAACCTCAGCTGTTTCATGGAGCGGGCCGTTTGGAAAAATAGAATCAATGGAATATGCTTGCGGGCGGATAAATTCGAATGATCTTATCAACGAGGAAAGTTTCAAAAGTTCTGAACGTTACAAGGAGGATTCAATATGTCAACAAATACTCAGCGCAATGGCAAATTCTGCATGCAAATGACCGGTCTGATTGGCGCACCGTCTTTGTGGATCTTCGTTATAACTCTCATTTGGATGCATTGGTTCCAACAGGTTTAATAATTTTGTATTGAGCCTCAATGGTATATCCATGAAAGAATAGAATCTGAAGCTTTCACCTTTGTCTGTACATTGTTGTTACTGAGTGTGTTGTCCTTTTTGAAGTTTCTCTTGCCTCATCATATTTGGTTGTTCATAGTTATCTTTGGATTAACCCAGACCACTATTTCTTTTTGCGCAATTCCAATTCGGACGTAATCTTCAAATTGTTTACGGCTTGATAACGTTCCTCTTTGAGACGCGTTTACTGCTTAATATATGTAAAAAATAAATGATATCTGATGTCATAAATTTAATGACAAATTTGTTCAATCCATAATTCTCATTTTGTTCAGTCTTATATTGCGCAAATGTATTTTTCCTAAATATTTCCTATAAATCTTTTTCGCGAATACCAAGATAGAATTGGTTTTCCGGAAGACGTTGCTTTTAGATTATGAGCTCAGTTGTAATTCAGTATTCTCGGACATTGCTTTAACCTTCCGGACTGTCGTCCAGTGATTGAGTGACTCGTAGATACGAAACCCAAATCCGATTCCAGATAACGAGAAGTTGGTAATCTACGTGTACTATAAGCAGACAAATATGTACGTAAACAAGCACCATACCTCAAATTGTGGGCCAATCCGGTCTCCACGGTACAAGAACGAGATACAAAGCGGGTCAAGGCGCAGAACAAGCCACCCGCGGAGCGGTCACTAAAAGGAATGCAAAATAGGCTTAGAAAAGTGACAATTTAAGGGATAGAAATACCAATCTTAAGCGCTCGAGAATGAAGCGCGATCATTGGTGAAAGCACACGTTTCACGGGATCCTATGAAACAAAGCAGTCAGCTAAGCAAATGAAGTGACTGATCAAATATGAAGGTCAACATCAAGTGGATAGGATGACAATGGACTAGAACCAAACGTGGGTAGGGGAACGGATCCAGGGTAGTTCCTATGTAACGACGCACGAGAATGTCAAGTGTGGAACAGTGAGAGTTCAAGGACGATAAGCGTAGTTGACGTACAAATGAATGGGACGAGGAACGCTTAGAGGCGGTATGTGAACAATAACAGCATAGTACAAAGTATGTCGTTGGACCAAATCGCGCCTGATGATGGGCAAAGTACTTTCGAAGGTCGTCTGTGTAATGGGTCACATGCGTGCACAGTTAATCGAACCGGAGCAAAACATAAGGCCTGATTAATTTTTCCAATTAAATCAATACACGGACTAATGAATGTAAATTCTATCAACGTTTCCTTCGGTTGAATATTCTTCAGTGGATTGGAAGAGACAGCAAGCTTACCGTTTCAAGAACAGTCTGTTATGATCTACTTTTACAAAAGTCACCTAAATCAACCTCCGAGGCAGATGAATTTCAAGTAGTTCGTCGTCTCCTGATCGAAACCGGTTGTTGAATTCAGTCAATGTCCGATGACTCACCAAGCAATTCAAAAACCCGGGTGTGGGATTCTCTTGCCATCCGGCTAGAAAATAGCCTGGTTGTTTATCACCCAGGCACGCAACCCTCACCCAGTATCAGATCCCGTTTATTTTGCTTCGCACGCTAAGACCAAAGTCACACAACATATGCCTCTTTATCTGAATTGTTTCACATCTGCATGTGCGTGGCTCAGTATAGTGTCAATCGAAAATGCACAAAAACGCATGGTGGTATCCCTTCACCACAAAACTCAGTTTTCTTACTTACTCAAATACCACAAAATTCTAAAATATCTCGCGTAAAAAGAAACAAGGAGTCTTTGTTTAAGACAACCTTTGTTGTTCTTAAAACTGCTTCAGGGCGTGGTTCACCGCTGCAAGAAATGTTGGTTTATTAAAGCACGAATTTGGCAAATTTGCATCTATGCTCACCTCACCATTATTATCAGGCTACATTCGGCCTCGCATATAGTACGTATTTTAAGCGTGAAATTCATAGCTGAAAAAAGAATGTACGATTTTGAAACGACCCTACAGAATAGTCACCCAGAACAATACTTTCCCTTTGCCTGTTTGATATGTTTTCAAATGACTCAGACAGTCCTTTAACGCCTGAGACACTAATCGAGTCAGCGCTGGGATTTTCACTGTGCCATGCAACAGTTGTTTCTTGCACATTAGTCACAGGAATCTTTGCGTCACAAACACCGGCGGATACATCATCAACATGTTCTGAAGCCCCTTATTTCATTCACCTTGTATCGCACTGCAAATGCGATAGATGTTTCCCTTGACTGGAGGCATAAAATCCTTCAGGAGAATAGTAAATCTCGTTGAAAGTTTATGGAATCTGCACGATAATCCACATTCTCACTGTTTTATCTATGTGAACTATTGGCCTGTGAAGTGCGCGATGGTATTTGCATGAGTGACGGGGAGGGTAGTGTACAGTCGGATAAATTCAACTGTTGTTATCAAGAGTCAAATTGCTCATACAAAGTCAAACTATGTTTGGGATTGAACAAACACTTTAACTTCGTTGTTCACAATAATAGCATATATACATATATATATATATGTATATATATATGGTTGTACCTGATATCTGCATATGTAGGCCCAACTCAAACTGAACTTCAGCCTCTGGTGACAAACGTATACCCCTACCAACCCATGGCAGTTGCGTGCTAGTAGATGAGGGCAATAAGAAACGTAAATAAGAGGGAGTAAAGGAGAGGAAACGATAAAGGAAATGCCGTTGAATTATAGTGACTTTGCATTGTAGTTTCTATTACTGCAAATGAATCAAGACGTTCAACTGGGGTAAAAATGTTCCAATTTGATGACATTTGGGGACATATCATTAAATATCTAATGAACCGTTGAATAATGTTGCAGTTTGACAACTACCAGGGTTTGGGGAAAACCCCGCGATAATGTTTACCCAAAAAGTTATGTTTTTCAAAAGCGTACCTGTCCTCGAAATCCTGCCAGCAATCTGAGTTCATTAAAAAGTCAATCGGGTTTGACAGATGCATTTGAAATAAAACAAAACAAAACAGTTGACAACTATCACTTTCTATTTTAAAGCAATCAGATGCGAAATAACCGATGAAACAATCTTGCTATCACTACGGACTCCGTTTGATCATTTTGTCTGAGAAAATCATAAACTGGTCCTTGAAACTGGCACAACTGACGAAGCGTGTGGCTTTTCTGTTATTACTCACCTAAGTAATGATCATAAATTTAGAGAAGATTTAAATAATTTGAACTGACCCGCCTTCATATTTCACCTTCATGCACAATGATCAGCTTTTCCTGTCAATCGTACAATGGGAATCACTAGACTAGATTTCGCTCTTGGTAGAGCTCATCAGAAGTGTGTATTCACCGTTCTGTTAGGGAGCTGAACTTCGGACGCACCGCATTGAGGGCCTGTGTGCTACCGCCGTAACATGCAGCTCATGTGTTTGTTTGGGTATCCTATTCAGAGATAGTCAGCCAGTTAAGTGTGGCCCACTAGCAATCGAAGGACACACAAATGTTTATCTGTTAAAAAAATATTGGTACATCTTGCAAATACATGTTCATCACAGACTCGAGGACAGTTTTGTTTCATTGTTTGTTGGTTTGTACGCGAGTGTAGAGTTGAACACTCAACATCTGATGACACTGCACTTTGAGCAACAGCTTTTACATGTTCGGTGGATTTATTGTTGATTGTGTTTACACCTTTTCGTTCCCTTTTCCTAGGAAGTATATTGCGCCAAACCAAATCCTGCTGCATACTACAAATTATGATTTGCTGTTCTCTGTTCAGAATCCGAGTTAGGGGTGAATGTACCATAAATGTCCTGTCCTTTGCACCGTCAACATCACTCAACGGTTCGACACATACGCTCAACACATGAACCATTCCGCCGGTTATCAGTTAATGTGTTTAACCGTAATTGAATGAAATCTGACCTCTCAGTGATCAGGTGAACTGAATCATGCCGCTCAGGGTAACCGAATTAAACTGCGTTGAGGGTGAACAGGGACGAGAAAGACAGCACTTATTTGCAGCTCGCATTATCGTGCAACAATGCCTAGCAGCATTTCCATCACGGAATTATTTTCATTTACCGTCAATCAGAACACAAAATTTTTCATTTGAATAAATCAAGTAACGCAATATGAGCAGAATTGATAGTGACCACCAATTTCGCTTGTTCTCAAGCAGCTGTCTACGCACGTAAAACAGGTCGAATTGTACCATAAGAATACCATATACGGACATTTACATAATTACATGGGTTCAGGCAGAAGGCACTGGGTTATCCAGTCATAATCGAAGTCAGTT